TTTTTTTTTTTTTTTTTTGCAATGTTGCAGCAACCCTTTATGGACTTTTTACTGACTCCAGGATTGAACAGTTCATGTTTTATGGATTTGCTTATAGATAAGGGATGGGGTATCAGATAAAGAGACATTTGTTTAAACTTATGGGGATGAAGAGTTATTACATTTGTTTATACTTGTAGTGATGAAGATTGGAAGTCACTTCTTTATATATTTCTTTTCTTTTCCTTTATTATATTCTTTCTTTTCTTTTTCTTTTTTTCTGCACTTTTTATTCTTTTTTCCATTCTCTTCTCTTTCTCTAAGTTTAATTTGTCTTAGTTTTAACTATTGTAATGAAAATGCTTAATAAAAATTATATTTTAAAAAAATTTAAGTATACTAAAATACACTAAATACACTAAAAACTACACAATTAGCAAAACAATGTTTAAACTTAAGGAAAAAAGTAATAGAAACCAAAACAAAACAGAAAAAAATAGGAAAAAAGAAACCTAAAGAAAGAAAGGAAAAAAGGGGGAAAATCTACCTTATATATTATATATCAATAGTCATTGGTTTACTAATACACTACTATAATATGATCAATTCAAAGTATTATTGACAAAGGTGACATAAATTGAAATTTAGTGGATGTTTGGGATTAATGATATTCACCACCAGAAGGCAGGCACTACATCACTGGTTTCATCCTATTTGGAACTCATCACATGTAAGTAGCAGACCTTATTCTGTTATTCTACCTACATCTATCATCTGGCTACTCATCTCTGATGAGTCCCAAACAGAATGAAACTGGTCATGTAGTGCCTGCCTCCTAGCTGCCAAAGTAAGTGAAAATTACCACAGAGTCACCTGCTTGGGGAGATGGGTGGCATACAAATTAATTAATTAAATAATTAAATAAAGAAAAAATACAACACAACATAGGGCATATTCTGTGTAAAAATTCTAGAGAAAACCCACCCAGGAAGGGTGGAAATCATGTAAAATCCCGTACACATAATCTAACACTTGTATCTCTCTGCTCTGAGATCTTAAGGTAAGGTGGATTGTTTATATCATTCTGATAGATTTGGGCTTAATCTTCCTTCCTTCCTGCTTGAACTATTCATTAAACCAGGAAATGGTCTACTCTATATGAAAATTCTTATAGTTTGCCCCAGTAAATCTGAGGTTTAATCATCAGAACACACCTATCTAATTTGTATATTTTATAAGATCCTTCCAGGTTTATCATGATGTGTTGGAATATATTTTAGCTTGCCAACTCACACCCAGGCTATACTTCATGCAATATATCTATGTATCTATGTCTCTTAATTGGTATAAGGCAGCTTCTCTGATTCCTTTTAATTCTGTATATGGGATAAATTTATGTTGTGATTCTTAAATTTCTAATTATTTTATGCTAAATTATATACTTTTCTGTATGTAAGTATACGATCTGATCTTTGACTGATACAAAGTAATTTGATTTGTACCATCGTCTATAAATGTTTCTCAGTAGAACATCACTGTTATTTTCTGAAAATGGAGAAGCTAATAGTTAAATGTAGGGTACTTCCATCCTCCTGATCAATGAAATAAGAGAATGAAAAAAAGACAAAGGATACAGTACTGTTTGCAATTTTATTCCACACACTCTATTCCTGCATCTGGACCCAGCTTCCGCAGAGGCACCAGTACAAGTAAGACCTGATCCATGTTTTCCAAAGACCTTGACAGGTCTTACAGAGTGTCCTCATATAAACATGGGTTTAGTACTCTTTTGAAAGTGTGCTAGATCTCTATTCAAAAAACAGGACTGCACACAAGGTCAATTTAAAAGAGAGTCAGGTTCTTTCAGCTGCTATTGCTGGGTCTGTCACCAAGCAATGCTGATACCTTTTTTCCACTGCTTCTGCCAACAGGGAAATTTGTGAGGCCATACTTTTTACTGTTTATACTAGTGGGGAAGGTGCCATTTTGCCTACTCATACAATATATTGCTTATAGTATGACTACTTCCATGTGCTGTCAACTACAGCCACTTGCAACCAGACTGCTTTTTGCTTCAAGCGTTTGTCAAGGATGGCTTGCACATTGATTGGTCTTTCTTCATTCCTCCTATATCTACATCTTGTCAGCTGGACTGTTTTTGGACACAGGTTTGTTACTCTTCCAAAAGAACAATCGATTGTGTTTGGGAATACAGGTCACAGACATGAAACAACTTGAGCACCTTGAAAGATGGCTAAACAGCCCTTTCCAAGTTCAGTCAACATACACCTAACATTGACCCACATGTTAAGAAATCACTATTCAGCAGTTAGAGCAGTGCAATTTTTGCCACCCTACTTTTCTGTCCACTCAAGGACTGTAGGATAGCAGATTCGTGGCTATGCCCAAAGAAATGTCGAAGGAAAAATAAGAAAACCAGATTGTTGTTGTTGTTGTTTAGTCGTTGTGTCCGACTCTTCGTGACCCCATGAACCATATTGCGCCAGGCCTTCCTGTCCTTCACTGCCTCCCT